TATATATATACACATACACACACACACACACACACCCCAAGGCTTTAAGTGTAAAGCAACATAATATATACAACCATTCTCCAATATAGAAGCAAGAGAGAAAAGGAGGAAGAAATAGGGAGAAAGAGCAAGCAGGGTACCAAACTTTTTTCTTAACTGGAGAATACCCATAAAGGGTAATTCTACTGTGGCACCTTCATTGCAAATTTTCTCATAAACTTAGAAACTATTTCAAAGTAACCCATTAAAAATGAAATAGTCATAGCACAGTTTAGTGTAGGCTTAAGAGATGAGGTGGCCACTTGAACAGTAGGAGTCTCCTTGTGTCTGAATACTATGACTAAAGTTCACCAGCAAATGTTTCTATTTCCACCTCCAACCAAGCTAAAGCTTCAAGGTCATACACTGTCTACAGCTACTATCCAAAAGTTTTAAACTTTTAGTGAGTTGGATGTGTTCTCTAATATGAATGTTCGCTATTAGCACATCCAGTGGCAGGGCTAAATCTCAGGCAATTTTGTGACCACTGCTGAGAATTAACCACTGTGTTCCAATCTCCCCACCTGTAGAGTGGAATCTGCAAAGTATCTGGTGACATCCAAAGGTGATGGGGGTGTGGGGCGAGAGCTCATGGCTCATGACAGCGCACTTGTCTAGCATTCCAGCAGGCACCACACAAGGAAAAATGACCGAGGGTGAGAATGAGTGTACAATAATGTGCACAATGCATGCACACTCAATAACAGCTCTCTTTTATTTCAAATCCAATCATAGTAACATTGGTCAAAGCCATACTTTCCATCCAAACTAGGCCTAAATCTGACAAAATCAACAGGAAAAACATATAGACGTTCACAAACCAATTCACCAGCTAAAATGTTTTGTGAATAAAAACAAAGAATTACAACAAGCTGCATGTTTCATCAATTTGTGCACAAACCCATCGAAATGTACAGAATGAAAAACGAAATCAGTTATCTTAAACTTTTTTAACCTGGAACTAGGGAAAACAAATAACTATTTCTATGCCATATGTAAGATTTCTGAAATGTTATACCACAGTCAATATTTAACCCCAAAGGACCAGCTGAATAGCTCAGCGGATTAAAGAGCCTACAAGGGGGGGAGGGTTCCTTGCCTGCCCCCCCTCCTGGCCCCACCCCCAGGGCACAATGAGAAGGTCCTGGCCCCACCCCCCCAGGGCACAATGAGAAGACAATTCAGACTGGGCCTGGTGGCCCGAACCTGTAATCCCAGCTCTTGGAAGGCTGTAAACAGGCGGATCACTAGGAGTCCTATCTAGTAGTGAGACCCTGAACACCCTGTAGACCCTTCCCTAAAATACAAAAAAAAAAAAAAAATTGACTTCAATATTCAACTACTAGCACTTTCTAGACTACCCAATCTTATTACAAATTTAAATTTCAATTACACCCTTCTGACACCTACAAAGCTATGAGTACAACTACTGGGGGAGGGGATGGGGTGCAGACTGCCTTAAGGGTGGGTCTAGTAAGGCATGTGGAGCTGAGGATGGAACCATGGTCCCCTGCACCTGACTGGGTTTGTCCAAGCAGGCGCTTAAATAACTGAGCTAACCCACAAGCCCCCCACAACTATTTTAAATTAGCAGGAAGCTAGAGGCAGATTATTATGTTACCATATTGCTTAGTACTGAGACAAAAAAAAACTAAGAAAAATGTAAAAGTGGCTATAAGAAGACATAAACATACCAACATTCTATAAGATTAAACCACCCTGATTCAAATTTAAAAATTAATGAATTTAGGGGATTGTTTTCACCTCTAGGAGGTACTCGAGCTATTTTTACAAAACCGATTGTATCTACTTTAGTATTCACTTTTTTGAACTCACATTATTTGTAAAAACAGGGTTTTGTTCATGGTAAGCCTACTTTTAACACTCTCTGCCTACGTTATTCTTTTAATTGGTTTTTCTTCATCTCTAGCCAAGTGATACAGTACTAAGAACGCTATTGGTGGTATATTATTAACCAGTTTGTCCATTCAGCAAAAGTCACCTCGCCAAGCGTGATGGCACAAGCTTGTAATCCCAGCACTCCGGAGGCTGAAGCTGGAGGATCTCCAGAAGTTCCAGAACAGCCTCGGCTAATTAGTGAGTTCGAAAGTCAGCCTGAACTTCACCTTAAAAAAACGCCAGCCCTCTGCCCCAGTATTCCAGTGTCCAAATAGTTTCCCACAAGCAACACACACAACCCAGAACACTCTCTTCCGCCTAAAAAGTTAAACGAATGCTTAACGTTTGGTCCTAAAGACATTACATTGACTGTACGTTCAAAATTCAGACTTGAGTCAATGAGCGTTTTGAAGGGGCTGGCCCTAAACTCCGCAAGCGGCTTTTTCACTCAAGTTTGAAAGCCAGCACGGACGCCCAGGCGCGCGCCCGCCCAGCACCCCACAGCCGCCCCGGGGTCCCCGCCCCGCCCTCGGCCAGCCCCGGCCTTCCGCTCCTCACTTCTTCAAATCGCTGCTGAACAGGCCGAAGGCGCCCGCGGGGGAAATGGTCGCGGTCGCCTCCTGCCCCAGCTCCGCCGCCTCCCCTCCTCCGGACTGCTCGTTGTAGGCGAAGCTGTTGCTGGACATGGTGCCGGCGTCCGAGGATCTCTCCAAGACCCCGTCCCGAGGAAGCGGAACAGAACTAGGGCTGGCGGGGGGCGCGCGCCGGCGCTTCCGGGCTCGTCACGTCGCCCGCCGCGCCGCGCCAGGGCCTGCGCATGCGCAGTGCGGCCGGCCGCTCCGGTCCGCGCGGTGCCTCCGCCGGGACTTGAAGGCCGCCGAAGCCGGGCCGCCCCCTGGGGACACAGGTCTAGCGGCCGCGGGGCTCCGAGCGTGACTTCTGCTGCTCGCCAGGGGCCGGCTCCCTTCTTTTTTTACGTCCTTATTAGTTGATACGTGCAGGATCTAGGGTTCCTTCCTCTAGGGGAGCTGGCGGGGGTGCAGAACACCCGTGCCCTCCTCCGAGCGCAGAGACCGGGCGCCCTCTCCCATTGTGCCCCTCGTACTTTGCTCTTGATTCAGGCACACAGGAGACCACGACGGGGTTCACATCGCAACTGGACAGCGGTCTGCCACAGCCGGCCGACTTTGCTGGCCCTTCGAGACAGTCGGGCTTCCGGCGGCGGGGGGCACCTGGAGCGGCCAAAGGCAGAGAGGCCGGTGCTGCGACCCCCGCTCCTCCCGGTGGAAGCGCCAACACCCTGCTCCAGGGGCCGGTCGGCCAGGTTGCACCTACGGGGGCCGCGCGCGCCTCCCTTGGTCCAGGTGCATCTCTCTGTGGGGTCCCCGTGTGCACCTCCCGCCGACCCCGCCCGCTCGGGGGCTGTCTGCGCGCCATTCCTCCCAGCACCTGGCACCAGCTGTCCAAGGCGGGCATCAAAACCCGGAATCTTGGAAACAGGTGCTGAAACGCACAAGGGGCAGCCCAGGCAGCGCCTGGAAACCGAAATCCGGCCCCTGCCGCCTCGGAAGGCAGTGTGAGCTCGTGCCCTTCCCAAAACGCTCCGTCCTTTCTGCACACACAGAGGTGGAACAAGCGGAAAGCCCTCTGGACTTTGTACTCTGCTCAGAGCTGTTAAATGCCTCTCCAAAAGAGCACCTGATATGGGTTCTTCATTAATTTGGATGGGACTCATAGATTAGCACGATTTGACCTACAGCTAATTGATGAAGGTCAGATAGTTTGCCTACATTATTAGTTCACTTAATAGTATAAGAAGCTAGATTTCTGTTCCATTGTCTACAAAACAAGGACTATAATACTCATCATGAAGGTTCAATGAGTAGAAACTGAAGTCAGAAAATTCAATAAAGATCTTGTCAGATGTTGGGTAAAAATACATATTTTTTGGAAAAATGAAGTTTGTTTGACAATAATCCAGAGTCAGTATACATGCTAGTAGGAGATAAAAATCTGGTTTTGAGTGATACTTTGTTTTTTTGGAAGGTTTTTTGGGGGATGGAAGCCTGTGGGGTTTTTTGTTTGTTTGGGTTTTTTTTCCTCAGTTTCATGGCTATAGAAAAAAGATATTTTGAATTCTTGACTGATGGGAGCACTAGATCTAGTCATTCTTTCTGTAAGAATGCAGTCTTAGAATTTTAAGGCATTAAAAAGCCCCAAATATCTCCCTTTCAACGTCATTTTTTAGAGATAAAAGCAAGTTTTATCTCTTTCTCAAAGGAAGATATCTCTTAAAACTGTACTTAAGACTGCATTCAGAGAGAAGAGAAAAAGAATGTTACCTGACAGCTTTTTTTCTTGAGGACTGTACACTCTGTTGTGTTCTGAGCTCTGACCAGCCTCTCCCATCAAGCTCAGGTATTCTAGGGCTGCTTCTCCAGCTGGCACATCCATACCTACCTAAACACCTTCTCCAAAACAGTTCCAAAGGCTTCCGAGCCACATGATCAGATAGCATCACAAGAACAGCTCCACTCTTGATACCAAAACATGGATCAGTTAGGGTTTGCTAGAGGAACAGATATTTATTTATTTATTTGTATTTTAGGGAAGGGTCTACAGGGTGTTCAGGGTCTCACTACTAGATGGGACTCAGTGATCCACCTGTTTACAGCCTCCCAAGAGCAGGGAATACAGGCGTGCCACCATGCCCAGTCTCGAACAGATTTTATATATTATGGTATATACTATAAAGGACTTACAAAGTAGGCTTACAATGGCTGCCTGCAAAGTTGAGGTTGAAGAAGGCAAAAGGGTCATCTGTGCTCTGGAGATCTAAAGCATCTAGTCAAAAGGCCTGGAGCTATTACAAAGTATCTGTAACAGAAATCCAAAGGATCTATGATTGAAGGCTGAAGAGTCCATGCTAGAAGCCTGGAGACAGGCATCTAAAAGTGATGACAAAGAATAGAGCTTCTTCAAAGAATCAAAAGCAAGCCCTTCCTCTTCTTTTCCTTTTTATTCCATGCAGGCTACAACCCTATTGTTTGGTCACACACACACACACACACACACACACACACACACACATGGTGAGTCTTCCCTCTTCAGAAAATACATCATCCAGACACACAGAACTGTGCTAAACTCATCCATTAAGAATTTTTTATTCAACTTGACTCCACAGTTAGCTCTCACCACTGTACTGGGTTCTCTCTTTTCATACAGAAATAATCTGAAATGAAATTTGTCTGCATCAATTTAGCTTCTGTCTGGCTCCAGTTTTCTTTTTTAGTAAGGGTGCTTTTAATTTATTTATTTACTTTTTGAGTTTCTACAAAGCTTTGTTCCAGAGGGGCTCAGTCCTTTTTGGCAGCTACCTTCCTCATGGTGACCAGCACATTGCTCAGCTCCTCACACTTCCTCTTGAGGCAGATGTTGTGTGTCCCTGCCCTTTGCTTGATGAACTGTAGGGCATCTTTGTCTTTGGAGACCTTGAGCGGCTCCATGGTACCCCTCCATTCGTAGGGGGCAAAGCTGCATACATCCCTGATCACATTCAGCATGAACTTGGTATATTTGGTGAGGCATCCATGACAGCAGCTATGCCTCAATTTGCTCACATTCTTAGTCGTCTTGTGGCCCTTGTTGAGGCCCAAGGCCATAGGATAGCATAGGGCCATGACTTCTGTTCTTCAATGGTTGTTGTAGCAGAAGCTTTTAATTTAGTCAATAGACTACCCATAGATACTAGATTGTTCCCACTTTGTAACTGTATATCAACTTACCAGTGCATGAGTTTACACCCTGGCATTGTAGCAGCAAATGACAGTGACTGAAGGTAAACCCCCATAAAAGAGACCAAGAGCATAGGAACAAGAAAGCTTTTATTTCGACTCATAAGGTTTCCACGGTAACCACATTAACTCATTTTCAGGAATTTTGAAAGAATATTTATATTCCTAGACACTGTTGACCATCTATCTTCCATGAGGCAGTGTGGTTTAATATTTTCCCTACTCCCCAAGTTGTCCTATTTGTTTCCTATTTTATGACCCTGGTTTTCTACAAGTGAGTTTATGGCTAGCTACATGGGAAGAGGTGAGGGAATAAGTTTGTCTATAGTTTAAGTGAATTTCAGAGACCATCCTTTAAAATGAAGTCTATTTTGCCCCATTAGTATCACAATATATTATAGTTACACAAGTCCAAGATGTAGATTAAATTACATAGACACTTAAGATTTTGCTATAAGCCAGCTGTGAGGGTACATACCTCTAGTCCCAGCTCTTCTGGACACTGAAGTCCATAGATTGCTTGAGCCCAGGAGGGATGCGGCAACAGTGAAAGCCCCATCTCAAATAAAAGAAGAAGCAGTTCTTTGTTGACAGATGTTGCCAAATTTATAGCTCCCAAGCAGGATACCAATTATATATCCAATAGTTGCTCTGTCTTACCTTATCCTTTCCAGCAATGTTTTATAAATCTTGAATGCTTGCTAAGACATTTAGACAAAAATTTTTTAAAAGTCTTCATTACTATTTTATTTAAACTTGCATATCATTATAACATAAAAGACAATACAATTCATTGTAAAAGTATATTGTTGAGACTAAAATGTGATGTTAGTGATAATTTTGCAGGACAAGCCTATATAAACAAGGACTCTGCCTCTCGACCCTCTTCCGGAGCATGTGGCGAAGTTCCTGGAGTTGATGGTTGGGATGGCTCCCCGGACCTGGCGTCGGCGGACCCTGGAGAAGTGTCTAAAAGAGATCGGTGAAGCCGCCAGGCAGCCGGAGTGTTTCCTCACGATTCAAGATGGATTAGCATCACACTTTACTTCTTTAACAAAAGTTCTTTATGACTTTAATAAAGTAGTGGAGAACGGTGGCATCCCTGGAAGTCGTTTACAGAAACTTATGATAAACAATTTTCATGAGGAGCAGATTTGGCAACAACTGGAATTGCAAAATGAACCAATTTTACACTACTTTCAGAATGCAGTTAGTGAAACAATTAAAGATGAAGACATCAGTCTTCTCCCAGAGAATGAAGAAGTGGAGTGTGAAGAGGATGGTTCAGAGGTGGCAGCCGTTAGTCAGGAGGACCTAGAACAAGATTTGGAAGAAGAAGAA